GCTGCACAGCGAGGGCTGGCAGGAGGCTGCACACGCAGGGCAGGACCATCAGCAGCTGCTGGCCACCCTGCCGAGGTGCCCAGCCCACCCTGCCGAGGTGCCCAGCCCACCCTGCCGAGGTGCCCAGCCCACCCTGCCCAGCTCTGCACCACGGTCCCCTGCTCACCCCGGTAGCACAGCGCCTTTTTCTTGCGGCTGCAGGGCTCGTCGTTCCACTTGCCGGCCTGCTGCGGCCGCTGGATGTAGATCTCCACGCAGTCCTGGTTGGAGCGGCGGTTGTTGGGCTCCCCCAGGGCCCAGTTCTCGGCCTCCTTGCTCAGCGCCTTCCTGGTGCCCACCCAGGTCCAGGTGCTGCCCAGCTTGCGGATGCCGATCCAGTAGTAGTGCTTGTGGTAGGGCAGGCTCCTGTTGAGGTACTCGATCTCCTGCTGGTTCTGGATCGCCACCAGGTCGGTAAAGAAGGTCTGGCAGTAATTCCTGGCCTGCTCCCACGTGTAGTCCCCTTGGTCGCTGTAGTGGTACGTCCAGGCACCCACCTCCACCCACAGCACCGTGCCTGTGAGGGGGGACGAGCTCTGGGATTGATGCACAAAGGGTGGGAGCTGGGTCAGGGATGGGATCCCTTGGGACATGAGGGTGGGCTAAGCCTGACACCTCGGCCAAGAGAGGCCGGTGACGGGCTGGGTGAAGGGATTGGATGAAGGGACGAGTGTGGGTGAGAATGGGACCCTGTGGGTACACAAAGATCTGGCTGGATCAGGCATGGCAGAAGGAGCTGAGGACAGAGGGGATGGCACAGGCATGAGGAAGGTGGAGGTGACAGGGCGAAGGCTGAGATGGGGCAGGCAGAGCACAGGAGGCAGAAGAGCCCCAAGCAGTGATGCCAACCCCTCCTCCAGCACGAGGATTGAAAGTTCAGCCCCGTTCCCCACAAAAACTTCCCAAAGGGGAAAGCCCCACTTCAAGATGGTTCTGTAAGCACAGTTCCTTCCTGCGGTGCAGAAGCACACACTTCAGTTTTCCTGCTTTACCCTGCTACATGAGAGCCAGATTGGAGCAAGACAGAGCAGCCAGTGTGCCCTCACCCCCCAAAAGCACTTGGACCCCAACCTGCTCATCGGAGACAGAGATGGTCTAGAGTCTTGTAAAACTCGGTGTTGCAAAACAAGGTCTTTCAAAAACAAGCTCACATCATGGCCATGCCCACCAGGCAGGGAAAAGCCAGAAAGTAACTGGAACCCACACCCAGAAGTGAAGGGCACTTTGCTGAAACCCTGCTCTTATTTACAGCATTTCACACCACAACTTTATGCAATCAAAGGCTTTTAGCCACAGAAAGAAGCTTCCTCCATTCTCCCCAGGAGCAGCTATCTCCACAACTGCAGAAAGTGATGTGGGGATATCATATCTCCATCAGTGCAGAAAGCGAGATGGGGATCAAAGGCTGCTCCAAACAACCAGCCTGGCTTCCTCTCGGAGAGCATTCTCACACTGCAGTTAGGCAAGGATCTGGGCATTGCAGATTAGATGCAAATACACATCTTCTAAAGTCTAATTAGGGCTGTACTTTGGTCCATTGTTACACGTTTTTTGTAAGTAATTTCCCATAATTTATCTGGTTTTTCTTGTGAAAGAGCAAACTATTCTCTTTGTTCAACAGAACTGAAGCTGAGGAAAATGTAGTTCTCTCTTTACCTTTTGGGAATTCGGGGCTGCAGGACAGGAACTCAGGGCACCCTCTGGGAGCCTGCCCCATCCTCAGCTCCCACCACCCTCCTCCTGGCCCCTGCTGCTCCCCAGCACGGCTCAAGGCAGCTGCCTGCTACCCTCACACAGCCCATCCCCAAATTTGACATCTGCTCCATGTCTATATCCTCCACATGCTCTCCTCCTACCTCCTTCCTCCAGCTCCACCAGTTACACCCTCACTGTGGCACAGCTCATCTCCCCTGTCTTGTGCTGCCTGTCCCTGCCCCAGCTGGTGCTGAGCCCCCAAATGGGCCATATTTTCCTGTGTTTTGACCCCTTGGCTCCCGTGGCAGCCCTGATACCTCTTCCCTCTGCAGCTGAGGTGCCTTTGCCTTTTTGTTTTCTCTCAGAGCCAAATCTCAGCCTCCTCCTGACACTTCTGCACTTGCCTCGTTTCTGTTCCTTAGCTCACTCACTAAGGTTCTTAGGATAATAATTCAGCTCACAGAGGATTCCCAGGGACAGAGCACCAGTAGGTTTTGCTCTGTGCAATGCCAGCCTGTGAAGGAAATATCCTCCAGACAGCAAAAGCAGATGAGTTTCTATACTGCCAATGTCAATGAGGCGCTCTAGCTGTGTGTGGTGCTGCCCCAGCTGTGCTGTGAACCCTCACACCCCTGGGCCCTGGGGCTCCATCCATGCCCAACTCCCCAGCACGAGCGTGGGTGTAGGCAGTGGGTAGAGCTGCCCCTGCCTTTCCCCGGTTCACAGGACTGCAGCAGCTGCCACACTGCATCTGGGGAACCAAACATCCTGCAGGGAGCTCAGCCCTGGCCGCCCCAGGGGAGCACAGTGTGCCCCGAGGCAGCTGCCACAAGCAGGAGCGGCTCCCTCCCAGCCCAGGGGGATCCAGCCCTGGGGCTGTGACTGATGAACCCCCAAAATAACAATGCTACATTTCTCCAGTTTCCCAGAGCTGCAGAGCCCTTGGCAGCGGGGTCACTGAGCGGGTGGGGGTGGCTTACCCCATGCGAGGGCAGCGATGGCCAGGCAGGTGCCAGGAGAGCCCAGGAGAGTCCGCGTCCTCCCGGCCGGTCGCCGTCCCACAGCAGTGCCCTGGCACGGAGGGAGACGTGAGCGTGCACATCCCAAGGGTTTCACACGTGCACCCCACCTCTGCCAGGCAGTGCTGGCTCACACAAGGGCAGTGCCCCGTGGCACTGGCACGCAGGCACACGCGGTGCTCCCAGCCAGCTACCAATGTGCTGCACCAAGGGCACTTCACTCCTGGGGAGCCCCTGAGTCCTGTGCCCCCCCTGAGCCCCTTCCTGCCCAGCCAGGCTGGCATCTGCCTCTGCCTGGCAGTGCCCGGTGTGCCCGGCAGTGCCCCTGAGCTTGGGGTCACTCGGGCAGGCTGTCCCTGGGGCAGCCTGTGTGTCCCACAGCCCCCAGCTGTGGTTCCTGTCAGCGCCTGCCCACAGCCCTGCCCTCCCCTGATCCCCTTGTCCAGGCAGGCCCTCAGTCACCCCCAGGAAAGGAGCAGGATTTACCATGCCAGAGCTGTGATCACAGTGTGCCCAGCCAGCGGCAGCTGTCCCTCGCTGGGCAGTGCTGCTCACGCTTCCTCCGAGCGTGCAGCACATCCCTGCCTGCCCCTGGCCTCTTCCCCTCCCACCCCAGCCCTGCTTCCAGCCCACATCCTGCCCCACACCCCTGCCTCCCCTGCCACAGGGCTCTCCAGCCCCAAGAAACCCCTCTCTGAGCCCGGGGCTGCTGGGGAACAGTGGGGTCAGCGCTGGCCACGGTCCTCACGGGACCTGGCTTGGCAGCAGCCCCATGGCATGGGACTTGGCTGCAGCCCCACTGCCACGGGGACATGACAGCCACAGGAGACGAGCCACAATGAGCCAGGCTTGCCCGAGCACCCCAGGAGGAGGAGGAGGGGCCCCTGAAAAGTGCTCAGCCTCAGCCCAGGACTCCCAGAGCACCGAGACCTCTCTGAGCCACCGTGTCCGTGTGGCAGTGCCACGCTGGCAGAGGACAGAGGAGGCTGAGCTGTGCTGAGGTCCCTCATGGGCTGAGTGGGAGCGTGGCTCACAACCTCCCAGCTCCAGTGCCAGATGCTCTCCTTGCATGCAGGCGTTTTCCCCTGGCTGTGAATCTTCAATACCATTTATAAACAAACAATAATTTGTTATATTTGTTATTTGTTACAAAATTACTTACACAACGTATTTTTCTGTCTTTAGCTTTAAGTCTTTATGAGAAAGGTCCAGGAATATGCCAGAGGAACTTCCCCCTGACTTATTAACATCCTTTAGGAGCTTCCACCAGTGTTTCAGGAACATGTCTAATTGTGTCCACCTCCCCTTGGATCATTATAATCATTATAAATCTTTTCTTACCCCGTCCTTCTCGTAAGTAGAATTGCCTTGGCCAGGTTTTCTGCAGCAATTACTCTGCTCACTTCCAGCTAAAGCCAAACAAGAGCCATGCAGGTCACATGAATTTTCCAGTTCCAAAGAATTTGATGCTGCTCCACCAGGACTCATTCTAGACAAAAGGAGGAACCCATTCTGCAAGAGCCATAACCCATTACAATTACTTTATCACTGGCCAATATAAATGAACTTTGTTTCCTGTCTCTGGATATCTTCCTTGAAAAATGATTTAATGCAGTTGTCTCTTTCTGTGGAATTGCTGAGTGTGTGTATGCAGTAATTGAGCAGCACTTGCTCTCAGCACTGTCTGCTGCGAGTGGGCAGTTTGGGAAGGAGGGAGCAGCCAGGCAGGCAGAGAGGCTGAGGGGCAGCTGCTGGGGAGGAGAGCAGCTCCAGGTGCTCAGGGTCGCCTCTGCACAGTGACACACCGCTGGGACTCAGAGGGATGTTCGTGGGTACACGGCCCCGGGCCAGGGCAGGCTGTGCCCCTGCCAGTTTCACTTCTGCTGCAACCCAACATGGTAGGGCAGAGCAGTAGAAAAAAAATACTCCCGCCTTTGTTTTTGTAACTACAAATAGTTGTTGGCACTGCTTTAAAACGGAATCAAGGTGTCTGAGATGCAGAGGCTGTTGCTGCTGCAAAGACAGTACGTGACGGAGTTGGAGCTCTGTGTGGTGCCCGTGCCTGGGCTCAGAGAGGGGCTCCTACACGGCAGGATGGATACTGAGCCTTGCTTCGCAGGTAGAGGGAAAAGGTGCACACGGCAGGAGGGAGAGAAAAGCCGAGCCAGCTCTGCTGGGAGCTGGTTAATCACTAGGAACCCCCTCACATCTCAGGTTCTTTCCAAGGCTGCCTTCCCTGGAAGGGATTCCAGGGAATCCTGCAGGGCAGGTGCTCCTGCTGGATTCCTGCTGCTCTGCCGGCCAAGGAAGGGCCTGAGCCTGCGTGAGCCGTGTCGGGATTTCCCAGCTGTCCGGGTGGCACAGCCATCCCTCCGAGGGCACAAGGCGAGCTGCCAGCCAGGTACGGGGACACTTTCCCGTGCCACCTCCGCACCGTCCCTCTGGGCTCAGGCAATGGAGAGCTCGTCCCTCGCCGTGCCCGTGCTGAGCAAAGAGCCGGGGCGGTGCTGTGGGTGCCGCAGAGCCGAGCACAGGCTGTGCCTCCGGGGCAGGGCAGAGGCTCCGGGCCCGGGCTGGCACTGCCCGTTCCCCTCCTTGTGCAATGTCCCCGCAAACCGCACAGGAACCGAGTCACCCCTGCCCGGCCCGGCTGCTCCCGGCGATACGGGGGCACCTTCCTGGGGGCTCAGCAGCCCGGGGGGAGCACCCGATCCGGCCCGACAGGGCTGTGGGGACACACACGCCTGCGTTCAGCTCCGCTGCTGCCATCCCTGCATTCCGCCCTGGGGACTCGGGCGGCTCTCCCTGAGCCTTGAGAGGCGTCTCCTGAGCGCGGGCAGGAGATTCCCTTCCACCACAGGTCCCCAGACAGCGCTTGAGCCGAAGGGTGTCCCTGAGCTGCAGGATGCCCTTGGGCAAGTCTGCCTCCACCCTCTTACCAGCTCCTGCCCCGCCTCAGGCGGCACCTGATAAAAATCTTTCTCACGATTTGAAAGCGTTCGGACACCGGGAGATGCATTAAGAGGCTTGGAGGGACCGAGATAGTCGCAAGGATTAGCCAGGACCAGAAATCCAGGGGCAGGTACCCTGTACCCCCCACCCAGAGGGACCTCGAGGCATTGGGACAGCCCTGGCTGTGGAATAGAGGGGTAGCTTTGGGCAAATCACTGCTGCCCACCCTATCCAGACCCTCTCGGAGATGTCTCTTTGCCCTCAGCTGTAGGACAGCTCTCTGCCTCCTGCCTTTCACTGCGAAGCTGGTGATGGAGCAGGAATCACTGGGGATCACCGCCCCCCGGGCCCCCCTGCCCGTGCCGCCCGCCGGCTCCGGGCGCCTGGCAGCAGCCACACGAGCACGGCACAGAGGAGGCTTTGCCAAACAGGATGCCTGGGGTACAGAGAACACTGACATTAGCTCACTGCTTGGGTGATAGGGCGTAAACGAGTTCCACCCGGGGAATCCCGGGCGGCACCTCTGCCCTGCCAGCGAGGCACAGGGTGGGTACGGGGTGCTGGGGGGCAGCTGCAGGGACGTGTCCAGGGGCAGCCCTAAGTGACAGCCAAACCAGCCAGCCTACAGCTCCTAGGAACTGCTGTGCCTGTGCCCTGCCTGGCTCTCCATGGCACTGGGCATCCCTGGAATGCTGAGACGAGCCACTGACCCACCTGGCCCCGAGCCCATCCTCTGGCAGGACCGCGGTACCAGCCACACTGGCCTGGCGTGGGGGCAGCCCAGGCACGGGAGGCACTGGCAGCCAATGGACCCTGGACACCACCAGTGCTTTTGTCACACGTCTGGTTTAATGCAGGGATTTCAGCCTTGTCTCACATGGCAAACACAGAGCCAGGCTCCTCTGCCTGTCACCTCTGTCCCCGCTGTGTACTATCGCCTGCTCCCCTCCCCGGGCAGCAGGTGAACAGGCTCAGCACCAAGAGCCGTGTCTCTAGCCAGGGCTGCAGAGCAAAAGGCATCCTCTCCTCTGGCCAGCAAATCCTGAGGCATCTCCCCCAGCAGGCACCGTGCCCAGCTGTGTTTCACCCAATACAGAAGCAACTTTGAGGACGTTCTTCACCTTCTGGCAGGCCAGGGCTGAGCTTTCATCTTCTAAAAGTTCCTCTCATCTTTCTCACCTCCCAGCTTCAGCACACTGTCTGGCTTGGCTGCTGCCAGTGATGCAGCAGGCACCCTCCTGGTTGATGATTCCCCCCTGGGATCTTGGTTACCTTTCTGCTCCAAGGAGTTATCGTGTTGTCTATTTAGATTAGTGATTTATTATCTTCAGGTGGGGCATGGAACATGTTTTAAAGTCTTTTTTATGCCTCATCCACCTCGCTTGTGTGGATCTGCAAACTGCCCTGTCTGCACTGCCCCAGCTGTTGCAGAGTGCTGGGCTCTGCCCATGCAGCATCCCTTGGAGTGCATGCAGTGACAGGGCAGCCCCATCTGAATCGCTGCCTCTGTGGCCATCCAGCTCTCCATGCACAGGGTGAGTGGCCCTTGCTGAAGCTGGCTCTGCCTGAGAGTCCTGACTCCTGGGACTGCAAACCCCTGCAAGAAAGAAACAAAAGCTAAAATAATGAGGGGAGGGATGTTGCTAACCACCTGTTGTCACCTTTGAAATTAATTCTTACTCCTGTGACTTCTTGCAGCTGTGCTTTAAGAGCGAGATGGTCACAGAGAACAATTTAACTGCACTTCATCCGTGGGCAGAGGGTTACAGGCTCCTTCACATCCAAGCAGCCAAAGCAAAAGGTCTTTTCTGCACTTTTCTGTTGGGAAATGGCAAGGCAACGTAAGCAGTGCTTTCCTAGCTTCTTTTTATTTGCATTTGCCCTTAAGGAAAAGGACTCTTTTGCAGAGAGGCATTTTGGGAGGACTCACTGGCCCGACAGGAGGTGAGGCAGGAGGTCCTGTGCCCCCCATCCCTGCTGCCCTGTGAGACTGGGGTGGCCCAGCCCCGCTCCGGCACCGTACCTGGCTCCTCGGGGCAGGGCGCAGCTCCCCGGGCTGCCCCGCTCCTCTGCTGCCTCTGCGGCGGTCACACCAATGTCACCCCGCTGTCACCCTGCTGTCACACCACTGTCACCCTGCTGTCACCCTGCTGTCACACCACTGTCACCCTGCTGTCACCCTGCTGTCACACCAATGTCACCCCGCTGTCACCCTGCTGTCACCCCGCTGTCACCCCGCTGTCACCCTGCTGTCACCCCACTGTCACCCCGCTGTCACCCTGCTGTCACACCACTGTCACACCACTGTCACCCTGCTGTCACCCTGCTGTCACACCACTGTCACACTGCTGTCACACTGCTGTCACAACAATGTCACCCCGCTGTCACCCTGCTGTCACCACGCTGTCACCCCGCTCTCACCCT